CTTCATAAACCAGATCATAATTAAACTCGGAGAAGGAAAAGCAGAAGAGACCAAAATTGTTCCTTCCTGATACTAACTTAGTGCACACAAGTGGGAAAAGGCAGAAAGAACGTGTTCCATTCCAAGGCCTAACATTTCGGAGATCCCCCATCACCTCCCCCTTCTAGCTCAGATCACAGCATGTCCCAGCGTTGGGGTGGGGGTGACTCAAACAGATGTCCCGGTGAAAATCATCACCCAAAATCTTTCCCTAAAGTCACTTTATCTGAGAAGAAGGGAAATCCTAGGGATATTTCTAATTGCCTGATTTGCTTCCCCTTTCCCTGCCCCCCTCCCATCAGGATTCAAGGGTTCTTTGGAGTATACCATCAATAGCCTCCACATTTAAAAAAGGTCAAAAAAACTTAAAAAGAAATGCCCCCCATCCCTATTAATCCCTAAGGGTCATTCTTCATTTAAAGGTGCTCAAAGAAACAATAACAAATCTCATTACCTCAGAAAAACAGAGAACTAGTTCTAAAAGTTCAATTATTAATTATATAAAACTGTACATTTGGATAAATAATTGTGAAATGGATGCATCTGTTCATTACAGAGATGGAAAAATATGCTAAAAAATACTTCGTGACCTTGTATCTTGGTATCCATATTTCATATAGCTTATATCTTAAATTTGCTCCCACACGTTTAAAAATGCATCTCTTGCTACATTCACTTTAAATACTTATCACATTATAAAACCTCCTACAGTATAGCTAATTTCAACACTTTCAGTACCTTAAAATATTTATAATTCCCAAGAATATTATTTCACTCCATTGCAGCCCACTTTAAAGACATTTTGCTCTTATTGCTGAAAAGATACAAATCAGAACTTCAAAAAATGGTCAAAGCAGTTAAGTATGCTTTCCCAATATTCATTTAAAATAAGGAAACTTTCTGTTTGATTTTTCTTAAATTGGTGGTGGGAATAAAATTAAATTCACAGTGAGAAGTAGAATTATGAAACGACGAAGGGTTTTAAATAGAAATTTATGCAGGACTTCTGACTTTTAATTCAGAAACCTAACAGATTTTGCTTCTAAACTGTGATGGAGCCATCTTGTGTAGATAAAGCTACACTGTGCATAAGTCTGCCTGCGTGTAATCTTAAAATTCTTTATTAAAAAAAACTCCAAATAAAGTAAGCAGCAATAGTTAATGAAACATAATTCACTAGGCAAATATAAAAAAGAACCATCAGATGTCAGAGCCAGTGACCATTTTTGCTAGTATGTTCACATACATTCCCCCTACTCCTGTTTCTTCTAAAGTCAGAGGAAGGAGTGAGGTCCTTATGAGATCTTTTCTGACTCTAGCCTAAAACCTCAAATTCCTTATAGAGAGGTTATTCTTCCTCTCTGCCCTTCGCAACTTCTCTCAGGGTTAGGTTGATAATCCAGTAATGGTGAGATCGATTCTCTTTTTTCATTTAGACACCTGAAAGAAAATCCCTCTTCTTCCCCTCTCTCCCAAAAAGCTGATGCAAACTGAGTGCAGAGGCCGAAGGCTCTTCTTCTCTTGGAGCTGCTGAAACATCTCCTCACCTTCCTCCTCTTCCCCTCCCCTCCCCCGTCCCCCATCAAACCCTTGGTTCAGTTGAAGAGGAAGACGGCCAAGTTCGGTAGCTCCCTCAAAACTGTACACACTCAGAAATTTTCTAAGAAGATCTCCAAAGCCAAAAACCAGTCATGGCCTCAGCCGCACGGTATTTTAAACTTGAGGTAAAAGATCGGACCTACAGCGGACACAAGGCACTCACCGACATATTACATACGCGTACGTTCGCACACACTTATATATATGTATATTTAACGTGCCCCTGCCCGATAGCCTTACCTCCTTAAAGGCACGAACTCACATAATCTGTTCGTCTATCTCTAGCACGACCAAACCACTCTCACTTTGGGAAATACCGTTCCCTCTGTGAATTCGGCCAAAAAATAAAATAAGCATCCTACCAGCACCGATAACATCTGAACTAAATTAAAACACAAGCGGACACCACGAAAACTGCGGGGCAGAGGGCAGATATATTAGGACTCTACTCCCCCCAAGTAAGGACCTAGCCGGAGGGAAGGCAGAGAGTTGAGCTGGCCCTAATGCAGGACGCGACATGCCTTTTCTGAGCTGCAGTGGCGTGCACTGTCTGCTAGAGGAAGGCCGGCCGCAAAGTCTGCTCAGCTTTGGACTGCCTCAAGAAAAGTATCCCTCACTCTGAGGTTGCGGCCAAAAATTTCACAAGTCGATCCTGAAAATTCTCAGCATAAAGTAATGCTTGAAAATGGAAGCAAACTTATAGTGGAAACTTTTGTTTTGGTTCTTAAATTCTCTACTTGACTGATCCCCATTACTATTACTAGCATTGTTGCTGCTTCCCTGTCCCCCTCCCTTTATCCCTCCCTCCCCCCAAAGAAGCAAAGTCCAACTCTGTCACACGTGAGGAATGAAATTTCTCTGACCTTTCCACCCCGTGCTGTGTTCCTAAATACACGTGTGTCTTCAAAACAAAAGGCAGCAAGTGATGAGTAAATAGTTAATAATAATACTTTGGGTCAGGGTGAGGAGGGAGAGAGGGAATGAGAAAGGGAAGAGGAAAAAGGACACAGAGGATTTCGGAAACAGGAGGGGGGGAAAAGATAGGCTGCACCTAGTTTGCTTTTAGACCTGGCCAACAGGCAGGGGCTAAAGCCTCAGGCAGCTTAGGGAGAAAGAATAATTATAACACACCAGTTCAAATCTCGCCCGCGGCAACCCCCCCCCCCACACACACACTTTCGACATATGCCTCAGACACACACCCCTTCCCCGCCTACCTCCCCTGCTCTCTCTCCTTCTCTCGGCCTCTGGCATTCACAAATCCACCCGGTGATTAAACCATCAGAGTTAACAAAGGTCCTCTTTGATTCTATTTATTTTCTCCCCAAGCAACTCTCTCCCAGAACCCGCTGGAGACAACTCTGGAAACCCGGTAAAGGGAGAGGGGCAAAAGTCGAGGAAGGTGAAGCTGAAGAATAGAGGAAGGAAAGAGAGAAAATACAAACAAATAAGACGAAGTCACCCCCGCTGTAATGTATAATTAAAGCTAATTAAAGGAAAGCCATTACCAGGCAGAGGAAGAAGCTTGCAGAGAAAGCGTCCCCAAACTTTAGATGTCTGACTTTGTGAAGACGCCAGAACCTACAATCTGGGTAGGCATCCCCATTGCTTCTAACCCTTAACTGTTATTTTAAAAACAGAAACTGCATGAAAGCAAAAGAACTACCCACTATAACCCGTCCTAAACCCAAGCTATTTAACTGTTTGCAGTGAATAAGTTAAACACTGTAGTTTCTTCTGAAGTGGATAGCTCTTTGGGTATTTATTTGATTGTAGAAACATCTGAATGAACAGTCAACCTGGATGGAGTCCGACACCTGCTTGCCTTTCTTTGCAGGCCTAAAAACAACCTCGAACCAGGCACAGGTAAGAAAACACAGTGAACAAAACAGCCTCCATAGTCACATAAGCATCTGTTCTCCCACTGTGTCCAAATGGGCTACCCAGGGACCAGAAATGCTACAGAAATATTTACAAAAAACTTGACCGATTTGGTTTTATTTTTCTCTCCACTAGACAGCCATTGACATCTCCAGTAAACTAAAGTTAAATTCAGAAACAGTCAGAGGCAGTGGAGAAAAGTGCATGAACCAATAACACAGAGCTAAACCTGTTTGACCTAAGGGAAAAACTTCAACATAAACTCTGCTATCTTCCTAGACTATTGAATTACCTTGAGGGTATGGGGGAGGAAAGCAAGGGTGACAGGACTGAATCAGAAGCCACAAAATACGGTTTTGACTGAAATTAGTTTGTATTTATTTGCAGCAAACCTTTAACAATGATCAAATTTTGACAACAAACAACAGCAATTACTGCTAAGTGTTGCCTTTAGATAAAAGCGGCAGATAGGAAACTGTATTATCTTGAAAGCAAACTTAAAGGCCTTAAATATCTGTAATCAAATAGTCATCTCTCCAAAGTCTGATTGACAGGGTGGATCATTCTAAGATAATGAATTTATTACATTTCCTAGGTTATTTACAAAGGAGGAGGTCCAGTCAAGATTGCTCCTAGAATCTCCCAGTGAATTAGCAAGAACAATTACTCGGAGAAGAAACCATCTTCCCCCAAAGGGGTGGTTTTTACCTTAGTCCTTAATCTACTCATTTATAAGTACTGTTGTTTCCCTTGTTTTAGCAAGAATTAACTGTCCCACAAACAGATCTTCTAAAACAGTTTCCCACAAAAGATTAATTATTCCTTTTCAACAAAATAGTAAGAATTTTTATAAATCCATCTATGTAATTCATGGAAGACAGCAAATCTGCGCTCTCGCTCTCTCTCTCTCTCTCTCTCTCTCTCTCTCTCTCTCTCTCTCTCTCTCTCTCTCTCTCTCTCTCTCTCCCCCATATATAAAATTTCCCCCATACACAGGGCTAGATTTAATAGGAAAAAAAAACATTAAGCACTCACTTCCCACAAGGATATGTAATATACATTTCCATTGTGTATTGTAGACAAAATGAGTCGTATTCATTTCTATGTGACTGGGAGTCTCTCTATAGATACCTTTCCTCTCTAGACATACACCAACACATATCCTGCAATACTGTTGCTCCTTCATGGACTTAGTATTTCCAGATTGTTACTTTATCACTGAGAAAACATGTTTATTTATTTGCCAACTTAGATCTGCTCAGGAAAGTATTTCTTTTTCCTAGCCATAAAGCAAACTCACGATATGGAACGTATTGCAGAAGACGGGGGGGGGGGGGGGGGTCGCGGCACTTTTTTGGATTTGAGGTTTGACATCGGGATTTTTTTTCTTTGCAGAGATTTAAGAAATGCGAGTCTTCTACCATTAAATCTCTTTTTCTCTAAACTAATTAAAGATGTATTAAAGTATCCAGACTCTAAAGTCTCATTCAAATTGAATGGTAATTTATTAATAAACAAACAATGCAATACCTTCAGAATATGTTCAACAAAAAGAAAAAATGATTGATAGAATAAGATTAATACAGTTTCCCTTTTATAATGAAAAAAAACAATTCAAAGTTTCAGGCAATTTAACGTCAGGTTTTGGAAACACTTTCTGGCGTTTGGTCCACAACATCCCACTACAAATTAAAAATAAATTACTATGTTGCAATTTACATTTTAAAACAAGTCCATGGAGGGGGGAAGAAAGCAACTGCAGTATATGGGAATTCCCTCCCCCCCCTTTAAACATAGGATAAAATAATATCTTAAGGATGACAGTTGAGGGAGGAGGTGGAGGGGAGAATGGAAGATATTAAAGGGGAAGGAAAACGATCTCTGAAAAGCAAGAAGAAACTTACGTGTTATCTGGAGTAACACTGTCCTTTAATAAACCAAGATTTTGCTGTCTCTGTACAAAATAGTTTACAGTTTGGTTTACTTAGGGAGGGCAAGGTGGCTCTCAAATTAATTAAGAAAATACAGTTTTCTTTGTGCTGGTGGTTTGGGTAGGCTTTATTTTGGGAGAGATTCTGTTGGTTTGTAGGTGGAGTTTAAAAGTTTGGGTTTTTTAATTGGGTTTTTTTTTTGGTTTCGGATCGGATATTTTTTGGGGGGAGGGGGCTATTTTCCTGCTCTGTTTTGGTCAGAACTTGCTGCAGTCATAGACAAAAGCCCCTGACGTGCGGTAGAGCGACTGGCTGGAAGGAAAGGCCATTTGACAGCTGCTGTTCCCATTCACAGGAGAGTTGTTCAAGCCAATCCTCTGCGACTCAAACATCTCCCGCACAGAGTGGAAGTTCTGTTGTTGTGCTGGGTATCCCGCTGCCGCGGCGACCGCGGCAGCACTGGCCAAGTGGCCCAGGTCTCCGGCCGCCTGGTTCAGGTACCAAGACGTCAGGCGCCCTTGGTGGGCCGCCGGGTGGTGGCTCGGCTCCTGGCCGGCATGACTCAGGGAAGACGTACTGCTGCTGGTGACCGGGGGCAGAGAGTAGTCGGGCAAGGGATCATCCACTGCCGAGCTACCCGTGCCTCCGGGCCCACCTTGTAAGTGACCTGCCCTTTCCCCAGCCGCGTACAGGCTCATGGCTTGCATGTTGCAGTGGTAGGTCCCTGCTCCCCCAGCGCCGCCACCGCCGCCTCCTCCGCCAGTGCTGCCGCCACCTCCGCCGCTGGCGCTGCCCGCGCTAGCGCTTTGGCTGCACGGGGAGCTGTAGATGGAACTCTGTCCTGGTGAGAAGCCGCTGAGCGACAAGGAAGGGGGGATGCCCGTCCTGGATGAAGCGGCGGCCGAGGAGGCCAGGAGGCTGGAGCTCAGCTCCGCAGACGAGCCCTGCGGCGAGCCCCGAAGCGAGGTCATGATGTTGTCCACGCTGAAGCCTTGGCTGTGCTGCTGCTGCTGTTGCTGCGTGTGCTGCGGCTGCGGCTGCGGCGTGTGCTCCCCCCCGTCTAGGCTCATGGACCGGTTAGAAGGAATACTGCCATGGGGACTGCTGCCGCTGGACAGGCTGCTGCTGCTACTGTCGGGGCTCTCGATTTTAGGGACCGCTGCACTGCCACCGCCGCCGAGAGCGGCCGCAGCGGGGGACAATGGCTGAGGTGGCGAGGAGCACGTACCATTCTCCGTCTTAATATCCTGAATTCTCACCGGCTGCTGCTGCTGCTGCTGCTGCTGCTGCTGCTGCTGCTGCGAATTCCCACCGCCCGAGCCCCCTGCCGCGCCGCTTTCGGCTTGCTCTGATTGCTGCTGCTGCTGTTGCTGCTGCTGTTGCTGCTGCTGCTGTCGGGGAGGGGGCTGATGGTGGGACTGCTGCTGCGACTGCTCCTTGAGGTGTAGACGGTCCTTCTCCTCCTTGTCTTTGACCGCATCTTTCTTCTTGAAGCGCCGCCGCCTGCGAAGAAAGCTCCCGTTCTCGAACATGTTGTAAGAGTCCGGGTCGAGGGTCCAGTAGCTGCCTTTGCCGGGCTTCTTGTCGTCCCGGGGCACCTTGACGAAGCACTCGTTGAGCGAGAGGTTGTGCCGGATGCTGTTCTGCCAGCCCTGCTTGTTGTCCCGGTAGAAGGGAAAGCGGTCCATGATGAACTGGTAGATGCCGTTCAGAGTAATCTTCTTGTCTGGGGCGTTCTGAATGGCCATGGTGATGAGAGCGATATAGCTGTACGGGGGCTTCACCATGTCCTTGGGTTGAGGCTGGGGCGTGTAAGGCCCGTAGGCGCGGGCCATGCCGCCGGGGTACTGCTCATGGGCCGGATGAGAGTACATACTCATGGGGGCCGGCATGGCCGTGTAGCCGCCCCCGGCGGCGGCCGCGGCCGCCCGGTAGTAGCTCTGCTCCCCGCCGAGATAAGGCACCACTCCCAGGGAGTTGGGGCTGGACACGGAGTAGCGCGCCTGCATGGCCTCAGCCCGGTGCTGCTTCGCTCGCCGTTCGCCCCCGGCCCCCCCTTCGCCCGCTTCCCCCCCACCCTTCCTCCGGCCCTCCGGCCGAGCCGAGTCGAGCTGAGCCCAGCTGAGCCGCCAAGTCCAAGTCCCAGCGCCCGAGCGCTCTCACTCGCCCCGTGTGTCTCAGTCCTCCTCCGCTCCTCGGCTCACTCGTTCCCTTTGGCACTCTCCTCTCTTTCTGGGCTTTTCCGCACCACCACCTCCCCGAGGCCCACCCGCCCCCTTTCGCCTCCTTCAGCCACAAACACCCTTCTCCCAGAGTTGAGTCTCTTCTCTTCTTCGCCTGGGGCGAGGCAGGCGTGGCGGGGGCACAGGAGACGAGGGGACGGTGCAGGGGGGTAAAAAAGAGCGAGTCCAGACAAGGAAGAAGAAAACGGCCCAGGACAAACTCGTGAAGCAACTTCCCAGAGCAAATGGAAAAAAATAAAAAATAAAAAAAGAAGTAGAAGGAAAGCACCACTTCTCGCCAAAGCGGCTGTCACACTCCCAGCGCCTTCCACGGGAATCTGCAACAAGTGGCCTACAAGGGAGGAAAAATAACCCAGGGGGTGGATTGGCGTTGGGGAAGGGGGAGGAGAGAAAAATCCACCTTCTCGAAGTCCCAGCGTCAACTTTTTTTCCCCCAATCTCCTCTCCTTCTCTCTCTCTCTCTCTCTCTCTCTTCTCTCTCTCTCTCTCTCTCTCTCTCCTCTCTCTCTCTCTCTCTCTCTCTCTCCCTCTCTCTCTCTCTCTCTCTCTCTCCCTCTCTCTCTCTCTCTCTCTCCCTCTCTCTCTCTCTCTCTCTCTCTCTCTCTCTCTCTCTCTCGAGCGCGCGCGCGGGCCGCTTAAGGAAGCATTGGGAAAACTTCTGAACTTTTGAGCATCCGTCACCCAGGCAAGGACTTTTTTACGCACTTACTTTTTTCCCCCTGTGCAGCGGAGCTCCGCCTAGGCCTGGACTGGCCAACCAATGGGAGGCAAGAACCGCCTTCCCTGATAGAGAAGGGAGGGGGCAAGAGGAGGAAACACGCGCGCGCGCGCGCGCGCACACGCACACACAATATTCGGAGGCGGTGTTAGCGGCAGCGAGAATTACTGCTCTGAGACTGACCACACACACTCCTCCACTCATTCTCTTCTCCTTACGATCCCAGTCCTGTACTCACACATCCTTGCCACATATTCATAGGCAAAAACGCTATTTTTTTCTCTTCCTTTACCTTCCTACCAAAGTTACACACGTCCATCCTCACTTATTCACAAACATACTGTTCACGTGTGCATTTGACGTAGGGCCCCTTCCTATCTCCACGCAAACACTTTCCCCAGTTTGCGCTTTCGGACATCCTCAGCCCATCGACTCTTACTCCTATTCTATTGTTTTATTTGTCCTCACATCTCCTGTCTTGCAACGCTTATATACATCTTTAAATGTATCTCTCCCTGTCCCTTACACATATACTCTGATTCTCATACCTTTTTACACGTAAATGGATCTCCAGTTCACACACACACACACACTCTCAGTCCCTTTCTTCTCTCTTCCTCCCTCTCCTACTACGCTGTACATTTGTACATTCTATAAATACCTATACACTACACCCACACATGTGTTTAAATATCCTGAATTTGATGACAAGCTACTTGAAACCAAAGGACACAATCACAGATAAATGTGTCCTCAATGGAAAGGAAAGAGTCATCGCTCCCTCCACTTTTTCATCCCCGCCCCCCAACCCAGGTCTGTACTCCAGTCAGGATTAAGGGGGTAAAGAAGACAGGAAGGGGGTAGATGGTACATTGAACTAAGGAAAGCTGTTGCCTAACCAAAACTTTCTTGAAGGGATTCCATTCGTCCTTTTGACAAAGCTTTTGACAACTCTTCCTTCTTTCTCTCTACCCCCACCCCCTTTTACGAATCAGCGTCTACGGCTTTCCTTTGTCAGTCTGTCAAAGATTGTGTCAGCTAGCTGGGCTGTTTATAAATTGAGTTTTCTTTGTATTAGTCTTTAACTTGCTTGGTCAGGTAATTTTTACTGGCTTGCTCAACGCTTCCTGGTCCTTACTCTCTCACTCCCAGATCATCTATTCCGACCTCCTTCCCCTCCCCCGATCTCATTTGTTTAGTAAAGGGAACATTTTTCTTCAAATGATATCTAAGACAGTGTTCAGTGACATTAGCAGGTGTGATGACAAGCAAATAAATATGTCCAAAATTATTTAACGGTTTTCTCTGAACAATTTTCATTTCTACACCTCCCTGCCCTGCTGGAGTTTCAGAAACAATAGTTTCTTTTAGTGAAATATTTAGAACAATACTTTCACAGCGATTAAATAACTGGATGAAGCAGGACCAGGATCAATAGGGAAACAGTTTCTCTCTTCTTTTGCAAAAGTTTGTAAGTATGGTAAAGTCATGTTGGCAGAAGAACTTGGATTTTGAAATTTGGGTGCAAAATGAATTATCTCCTAAACACTGAGAGAAAAGAGATCGAGGCAAAGAAAGCTAAAGAGAATGAGAATGATTGAGCAAGACTGAACACAGAGATAGATGAGGAGGAAGAGGAAGAGGAGGAAGGGGGAGGAGGAAGAAGAAGAAGAGCATCTTTCAAGCTAAGATCACCACTTGATTTTGAATTTCAATAACAAATTATTGTAGAAATTAAACAGTACCTTTTGTTTTGTTTTATTAAGCGACAGTGGCAAAATTTGGGAACTCGTGAAGAAGTGTGTGATGCATTTCACACTTCAGTTCTCTCCACCTCCGAATTTCTGACTAGCTTTCACACCAGACGTGTTGGTAGAGCCTTTTGGCTTTACTGATCTCTCTCTATTCTTGCTTTCTCACTTGATACCGAAATCTTTGCTGAAGCTTCAGTGGACAAATTGGATGAATGTATGCTTGATTATTCAAGGCAGAGGGAAGAGGAAGGCGGTTTGTTCTTTAACATATATTTTAAAAGGTAGAAAAAAATCATTCCATTTCTGATGAAAAATTTTAATAAATCCCAGATAACAAAAGGCAAACTACTCCAAGAATGAGGGGAGGCTGCGGGGTGAGGCAGATAAAAACGTATTCCTGGCTTGAGAATCAAAGTGTTGAATAACTATTGTCTCAGTTGACATTCCCTGGGGCTTGTAGTCACCTAATTCTTCTACTCCAGTAGAACATAGGGGAAATTTTATTGATATGTTGGGAGAATTAATGGAGTCAAAACTAGTAGGCTTAGTATCTCCCCAGTCTTGGGAATAAAAAGTTTTGCTGAGCTAAAATGTCAGTATTGTTAGGCTATTTTATGTTCAAACCTCGTAGCTATCCTTTCCCCATGTGCCCATTTAACTCTATTATTTTGTACATTTATTTTATTAGCATTTGTCTTGTTTCAGTTTTCCTGAAAACCAAGTAAATGAAATCTATTGAACTCCTGCCTTTGGTAGTATATAGTTTTAAACTGCATCTAATGTGAGGGGTAAGGAGAAGAATGCCCTGATAGAAATTCTTTTGTTTTTGTTAATGTGGGAAACGCTGATCAGTCCCTTGGTTTTGCAATACAGTATTGTTCTCTCTCTCTCTCTCTCTCTCTCTCTCTCTCTCTCTCTCTCTCTCTCTCTCTCTCTCTGTGTGTGTGTGTGTGTGTGTGTGTGTGTGTCTCTCTCTCTCTCTCTGTTTCTCTCCCCCTCCCACTTCCTTCCCTCCCTCCTCATTCCATAAATTGACAGTTCATAATACATGTGATCTAAACTGTATATCTCAAAGGACAGGCATTCTTGTTTCTCGGTTAAGGTATAAAAGTTGCCATTGTGAAATTAGTAACTGGCATCCAAACAGGATTGAGTTTTTTGGGGAGGGGAGGAAGGAGAGGGGGAGTTGGGGATAGAGGAACGATTTTTTTTACCAAGATCAGCTTTCCACTGGTTTAGCTCTGGATCCCCTCCAGGAAAAGTAATTTGTATTTGTGTTTTATATGCTTATTCAGAAACATATGCCAGTAAAACGACTTGATTGTATTTCAGACTTTTTGTTGTTCATTCATTTATTTATATTTATTTATTATCTATTATGAATATTAAGAGTCAGAGGTAGTATTCCTAAAGTGAAAGCCTAGTTTCAGTGATATGCTGTATGATCCTTCAGTGCTGCCTTACAGAGCTGCTCAGACTTATTTTTTTAACATTCCCCCCAGCCCCATTGAACACATTGTCCTAGAATGGCAAAAATGAGTTGCAGGAAACAACATTTCAGCTTCTTTTCTGATACTTCCAGATGTGAGTAAAATCTTTTAAGCCCAAACATAAGTTAGCCAGCTATTTCTGAACCTTCTCTGGAACCTCCACGGGCCTCAGTTTCCTCATTTGTAAAATGAGAGGGTTTGGTCTCTGAGGTCCCTTCCAGCTCTAAATCAAGGATCTCTGTGCAGTGGGCTGCAACCCTCTCTTGAACAGAAGTGAAGATTCCCATTCTCCTCCCTCTCTCCCTTTCAGGCAAGTAGAGGAGAAGCCAATGCAAGTACCAGATCTAAAGAGAACTTGGGAGGAGAGGAGGACTCAGTGAGATCACGCCCATTTAAAAAACAAGGCCTTCTGAGGAGTCCCCCTCAGTTTAGGAATGGAACTTTTGGAATACAACAACAATTACACCAAAAAAAGCACATGGAGATTGTGTTCTAGGAAATTATCAGGTTCGAAAACTCATGCTGTGATAATCAGACGAAAAAAGACCTCAGAAATCGGAAGGAGAGAGAAGGCGGTCTCTCTAAAGTCAAGGTCAGGGAGTTGGGATGGGGTTGGAGGATTTTCAGAGTGTAACAACCACTGAGCTGATTACATCCTACCTGTGGATTCACTCAATGCATAATAGATTTTTCTTCTTTCTCGGAGATGTAGAATTTATCCCTCCTCCCATTGCCCCCCCCCAACATCCGAGCAGTTCAAACTCTGCTTTTAATTCCTCAATGCCCACCCACCCCTCGGCCCCCGGCACTTCCTCCTTCCACCTGTAAGCTAGCTCTTCATGGATCTCCCACCGGTTCTCGAAGAGCAGTCCAGGGGCTCGTTGCTCCTCAGATCTCAGTTAGTTCCTGCCAAAGAGCTAAGTTCTGTTGCCTGTCCTCTTCGAAAAATCTCCCTATCTGGAGCTTTTGCAGGAAGCAATCAAAAGTTGTGCACGGGTCCAACTGTGCTTGGAGAAATAAGAAAAGCGAGTTTAAGAGAGAAGGGAAAGGAGCTTTTCATTTTTAACGCATTGTACCCTAGGTTTGGTGATATCACATAAGAATGGCGTGATGTCTGTAGTTGTTACAGAAATCATATCTATACTAGCAATGAGAAGTAGGGAAACGAAGAATTAAAACAATTATCCGGGTAATTTTTTAAAATGCCCACTGTCAGCACGAAATACACAGATCATTGAATTACAAAAAATGACTTTTTGGCTTGGATTATCGGGATTATAATGTCGGTTTTTCATTCATTTTTATATTTAGACACAAGAACCGAGAGGGTAGGGAAAGCTGTCCCCCACTTAACTATTTTGTATTGGTCCTTCCCTGTGATTCTTTTCGTTATTTAACCTTCAGTTTAACAGATAATTTCATATTTTCCATAATTTGGAGGGAGAAGAATATCTGTGCTGAGCGCTTGAATGGGAGAAGTTGTGGGTGAAACTGAGGAACAGTTCGGCAAATCAGGTTGGATTGATTTCCT